TGGCTAGTTGTAACCTCCTATGTAAGGGAGCCCCTGGAGGCACCCATGTTCAAATACATGAATAAAAACATCAACTCCCAGAGACAGGGACTAAAAAAAAAAAAAAAAAAAAAAGAAATTTGCTATTTTTATTATATCTTTTTTTTTATATTTGCACATCTTAATTCCTGCAAAAATTATTATATTACTATAAAATATATATATAAATAGGTTTAAAGTATGGAAATATAAAAAAGAATACAGAAATATCAGTAACTTTAAAAAATAAAATTTAAACAGCTAAATTAAAAAATAAAATTAAAAAAAAAGTTAAAAAATTAATATTAAATAAATGCTGCAAACCCTCTGTACATAAAGCATCCTGAAGTCTACTATATAATTCTGAACGAATTTTGTTCTGATTATGTTTTAAATAATTAAGGTGTTTTGTTCTACAATTGAATACATATTAACAATTCATTGTTGAAAAAAATGCCCAAAATGATGTAATACTGTTGCCTCCCCAGGATGACCAAGATGAAGTCGATAAGCAAAATAGTTTATTGCAGTAATATACTTCATTGATATTTCCTCATTGTTATTGTTACTGTGTATCTCATCTACTCATTCTTGCATAAAATTGTTACATATAGGAATTAAAGAATGCCACCCATCATCACCTCTGAGGAACATAAGTACTTAGTGCAATGGTGCATAAAAACAATGTATTTCAGATATTTGTTGAAGTCCTCCTTCACATGATTATAATATAATATCATGATTTAAAGGTTCAACTCCCTGCTCATTTTCAACTATGATAGCTGCAACCTCACTTGAACTTGGAGCATTATATCATTGAGAATATGCTGTTCTGTTATCAGTTATTTGCATTTTTAAGTCTAATGATGGAGTTAATTTTAACAGTTCATTGACTTGGTGGAATATTATAGCATGCAGGTTTATATTATATAGCATCTGCTAAAACTCTAATAGTATAGTATAGTCCAATCCAGGCATCATATTTATTCTATTTTGTAATTCATGATCAGTATCATATTTATATAGCTAAGCAAACTAAGGACAAGATTCATGATCAGGAAGTAAAGTGCCTATATTATGATACATTTCTCCATATATACGAAAAGTGTAAATACTGCGAGTGCTTGTTACAGAATGATCAATCTTTGCTCCTATTGAAGTGAATGCTAGTGCAGAATTATATAGTCTAATATTTTGGTGAAATAAATGTGATTGAGTGTTTGTTCTTGTTAAAAGCACATTTAAAAAAGGTGGTAATTCTTGAAGAGGAGGAAGAAGAACTTTGCTATTTGCACAGCAAGTCATAAAGACAGGTGACTTAATAGATGAATTTGATTTTCTTTCATCTAACCACATTTTAGCTTTACAAATAGAACATTTGTGATCCATATTACCAAGCGTATGATAGTTTAATTCCTGAAAAGTCCATGGAAATATATGCACCTTTGGAACATTTGATAATACTGTAACTGAAGAACCACTTGAAGAACACTCTGAAATTGTTGCAAGTGCAAGTGTTTCTCTTCTTGATTGCCTCAGCATTCTGTATGTTCAGGTAATATATTTTTTTTGTCATGCTGCAGCTTTTCTTCTCTTTCTTAACTGTGCTTCTCTATCTTCTAGCATTTTATTTTCTCTTTAATGTCTATCTGCCTCTTTTCTTAACCTCATCTGCCATTTCCTTTTAGTTTTTTCACTAATAATCACTGGTTGTTGTACATTTTGATGATTGTCAGAAAGTTCAGTAAGCATATTGTTTGTTTTAAGAGAAAGTATTTTAAGTGATATATAAGCTTATATTTCAAAAAAAAAAATAAGTACAGTATATATATTGTTATAAATGCTTTATTATCATATATATTCGCTATTTTAAATTTTAAGTACCACATTGTTGTATAATAATAATATTCACTTTATTAACATTTAGATATCATATTGTTTTATAATAATAATTATTATATTAGAGCATCTTTATTGAATATAAAGATAAATGTGTAAGATAGTACATAGCTAAATTATGCAAGAAAACTTTATTTTTATATTTTTTTATATTTAAGTAGCACCTTTATAATTGCTTCTTTTAAGCTAATATATATTCACCCATATATCATTAATAAAGTATATGCTAAACTAATAGATTTTTTTAACCATGATAAAAAAAATTGACATAACACATAATTTGAATTAAAAAACAATTAAAACATTTTTTTTTTGTTATATATTTATTTTTATAAACTTGATATTATTATTAATTAAGTTTTTTTTTTTAAAAAAAAAAGGTCTTTTATGAGTTTTTATTGTATAGATTTTAATTTTTATAGATTTTAATTTTCATCAGTAATTTTTCTTATTGTCTTATCTTTAGATTCAATCAACAATAAATAAATGTAATTTAGCATAATAAAGTTTATAGCAAATATGTTGCACAAATTTGCATGTAGCTGATTGGCTGGTATATATGGTCAGTTGTCATGCATAATCTTATGATATATAGATTAGCATAATAAAGTTTATAGCAAATATGTTGCATAAATTTGCATGTAGCTAATTGGCTGGTACATGATTGGTCATCATGCATAATCTTACGATTTTAATATATTAGATTTGATTACAAATATATTGAACTGAACAAATAAATATCCATATTCTTACTTTTTAATCAGATCAGATCTTTACTTATTAGTATAATTAACCTTGATAGTGAGAAAGGATAATGAAGTGTTCTAATTAGTTAATTTAGAAGGTCAGTTTTAACTGCCACTGATAATATTAGGTAAGTATACAATACTGGACAAATAGTAAACAATATCTGTAATTTGAAGCAAACAGAGGTTAAGCCAAATTACTGTTATTTGTTGCTGCTCACCCAGTATTGATGTTATCTGATAATTTATGATCATAATTCACAAGTTACCACTGGCTAACAGTTTTAATTCAGATAGACCTGATTATATAATAACATACAAAAAATCACAAGATAAGACAAATCCATAATTATAAATGTTTATGGATAATATATAATCTCTGTTTTGTATTAATAATATTCATATAACATATTGCATTAGAAACTGTTTAAAGTTAAAATAAACAGGAATTCTTTCTTGTCTGAATTACCACTTTTAGCAGATTGCAAACACATACAATGTCAAGTTATTTATCTATAGCAGGTAAATATTGAATACAAAATTATCCAATGTTAATATCAGAAGACTGTGAAAGTATAATATAATGCATATTAGGAATGGCATAGATATTCAAGAATGTTTAAAATTATTTAAATTCTGATTCAGAAATTGCATAGGCTGTTTAGTGCATACTTCCTAATTTGAATATTTTTAATGTTTTACTAACTGTCATCTATATTTTAATAGAAATATGACATTATAAAATAAGCCTTGAAATACAACAATTTTATATGACTGCACAAGATAATAACTATTAATTTTTTTTTTCTTTTTTATTAGTGTTTATTAATAAATATATTTTACTTGAAAGCAATTGTTTATTATTTGCTTGCTTACTATAATATTGATAATTGTGATATAAATAGTTATTATTATTTATTAAAAATAAAGATTATATATATATGAAAATATTATAAGTTTATGTAATAATAAAGTATAGGTCTTAAATGTGTAATTTTCTTGGAATTAAAATCATAACTCTAAATACTTAATAGCATCTTCATATATTAGAATTTATAAATTTCTAACAATGAAATAATCATTTAGATTATAAGTAGAATTGAATTTTTACTACACTATTCTTATCCTTCTAAATTATATTTAATTATTTTTATTAACTTTAATCATAATAATAACTAAACTATATAGAATATATAGGTGTTGTAAAAAGAAACTAGATATAAATATTTAAGTAGTAGATTACAGTTAAAGAATATAAATTTTATAATAAAAATCAATAGTGAATTATTACTTTTATATAATGTTAGAATGCTAAAAGTTACTGGTATTATGTAAAAATCATATAGTTATAAAGGAGAAAATGCCAATAGCTCATGATCTACAAAACTAATTTGAATAATTCTATCATTATTAGAATCAGAATTAATTTTTGTTAGAAACTCAAAAAAGGTTTACTTGATATAAAAAACTTCTTATTGTAAGCTAGTTGCATCCCAACTCTATAAAAAAACTATATTAACTTCCAACAATTTTTATTATTAAATTTGCTATTTTTATATTCTTTAACTATAATTACTTCTTAAATTTTCATCATATGGATATAACTTCCAAAGAATCATTATAGCTATAAAGAAATTGCATCTTATATACTATGCTATCAAAGTGATCAGAACACTTATCATATATAAAATAAATTATGTGACATCACAATTATTTATAAGCTAAGTTCACTATGAAGAAAACTTACTGTACAGCATGGACTAAAAGACCTCAACTATAATACCTCTTACAACTTTAGAGCTCTAAAATATATATTAAATTGTAATTGCCTTCAACAATATTATATAGTGCAATTAACATTTCTATGCTAACTATAGTATTCTTCTAACTATAATACCTATATATGCAGATAACTTGTAAAGTACCCTAAGTATTTTAGTCTATACTGTAAGGTAAATATTCACTTCCAGGTTTTCATTCTACAGTACTCATATAGACTTACTATACTGAACACAAGACACAATGAACTAAAAGATTAAAAAAAAATTTAGTATCATATAATGAACCAGACTTTTTTATTCTAATAATATATTATAAAATGAAATAAGAACAAACTTAACAACCATGTGATGATAAAATCTGACAGTTCAAAAATTTTATTAAAGATTTCAATTCAAGAGCTCAGTAATCAATACCTTAATCATAAGTACTTAAAGGTTTGAATAATCACAGTACCTACAATTTACAACCTATTAGAAGCAGTTAAAAAAGCTTGGTAAAAAAAAAAAAATTCTTATAATGAATTCAGTTTGTAAACTAATTTGATTATCTACTTTGGCACTCATAGTAGTGTTCTGCAAACAAGTACCCTAATTGGGTTTTTAACATTTCATTGTTAAACAATTGAATAATAATTAAGTTACTGCTTGACAATGGCAATGAAATGTTAAACATCCCTGCAGTTCCAATTCAAATATCTGTTTGCAGAACACTAATTAAACATATTTAGGATTTTTTTTATATAATTTGATTGGATAATTTTTTATTTTATAAACTGAACAGAACCTTTTTTTTTGTGCTATCTAAATAAATTTGAGTCTATCTAAGTAAATTTGATAATATATGATATATATTTTTTTAAAATATAACAGATTCTAAAATTTAGCTACTATAAATAAAGGGTTCAATCTATATATCACAAAAATTTTTATAAAAATAATTATAATTTAAAAAATTTTTTATTAATGGCATATTTTTTACTTTATATATAACAATAAATTTGTCATATGAAAATTAATTTACATGACTTTACCTTTAATATAGTTCTTTATTTCAATATTTTTTTTGATTTAGCTTGTGTAGAACTCACTTCCAACTCATAAATAAAGTCATCATCATTATCATAATTTTTATTTACTAAACTCTCTTTACTATCATTTGGAATAGCAAAATTTATTTTTAATTCATTATAAAGAGTTTTTACTAGATTTTATGCTTTGCTTTATTTAACATTTATTGCTCAATTGAATTATTTAAACCTTGGATCGAAGAATGTAGCAACTAAAACAATATCTGTTAGAACCTCCTATAATTCTTCTAATGACAGATAAATAGTAGCTTAAACTTTACAAAACAAATTATTAATAACAACAAAAGATAAATGCTCTATTTGGTCAGTATTTTCTAACTCAATATTATTAGGTTGTCTTTATGCTCTTATATTTTATTTTTTGCTTTAACCACAGGAAGCCTTTCTTTGACTAAACTGTCTATATGCATATTGCTATTGTTAACAAGTTTTAGCAACAGGAATATCATTATTAAATTTATCACTTTTATAATTTTAAGCTTCTTTTCTATAAATTAGATCCAAATAGATATCAACTATCTTATCTGTCTTTGGCACAAACTCTTTTTTAAGCAATTCCATGTATGGATAGACAAGATTAATAGTTGGATATTTGGCATCACATAAATGTTAAGTTATTCTTTTAATTGGTTTTAGTAAGTTTACTGCATCTTGCAAAAATCTATATAATAAATGAAAAAACTTTAAAACCTTCTTAAAAATAAGTATTACTAAACAAAATATGAAAAATTTTGAATTTAGAGTATAGAAAGATAGATAAAAAAAATAAGTTAAAATGTAGATATGATCTAATTTAAAATAAACTTAAGCAAAATAAAACTTAAAAAGCAATAATTATAATACAACAGAATAAAACCTGTGCAGAAATAGTTATATTATTGATACAAATCCTATCTAAAATAGTAACTAACTTTAATTAAGAATAGATTTGCATCAAGAAAGTTATCATCTTTGCATGGATTTTACCCTTTTATATTATAATTTAAAAAAGGTCTAGTCTACATCATAATATACAATTTTAATAATTA